TGCAGACAGTGCCTCATCCCAGTGGGAGGGTTTCTCATTTACCGGACTGATGGATAGGTCTTGGAGAGTCATCGGACTCGGTTCCAGGAGGCCTAGAATCGGACCCAAGAACTTACGATGAGGCACTCCAAGATAAAGATGCAGATTCATGGAATGTTGCAATGAAAGCTGAAATGGGGTCAATGGACTCCAATCGGGTCTGGGATCTTGTAGAACCACCCGATGGGGTACGACCCATTGGATGTAAGTGGATCTATAAGAGAAAGAGAGGATCGGATGGGAAGGTACAAACCTTTAAAGCTAGGCTTGTTGCAAAAGGTTATACCCAGATCGAGGGTATTGATTATGATGAGACCTTTTCGCCAGTAGCTATGCTTAAGTCCATTCGGATTCTCTTGGCTGTAGCCGCTCATATGGACTATGAGTTCTGGCAGATAGATGTCAAGACAGCTTTCCTTAATGGGAACCTACAGGAAGACATCTATATGGAGCAATCAGAGGGATTCATTGCTGAAGGTCGTGAGCATCTAGTGTGTAAGCTTAATCGATCTATTTATGGATTGAAGCAAGCTTCGAGATCTTGGAACATCCGTTTTGATGAGGTGATCCAGTCGTACGGGTTCACTCAATGTCCGGATGAGCACTGTGTTTACAAGAAAATCAGTGGGAGCGTGGTGGTGTTTCTTGTGCTTTACGTAGATGACATACTGCTTATTGGAAACAGTAAGAAGGAGTTGTCAGACGTAAAGGTGTGGTTGTCTAAGCAGTTTAATATGAAGGACTTAGGTGAAGCAGGACACATTCTTGGTATTGGGCTCATTAGAAACCGTAAGAAGAGAATGTTGTGCTTATCCCAGTCTTCATACATAAATACTGTCTTGGCCAGATTCAGCATGCAGGGTTCCAAGAAAGGTATGTTACCTTTCAGACATGGAATACCTCTATCTAAGGAGATGTCTCCTAAGACGTCTAAGGAGATAGAGGAGATGAAGACAGTTCCTTATGCTTCGGCAGTAGGAAGTTTCATGTATGCAATGCTGTGCACTAGGCCAGATATTAGCTACGCCGTTGGCATGGTAGCTAGATATCAAAGTAATCCGGGACGGGAACATTGGTCTGCGGTGAAGCATATACTCAAGTACCTGAGAAGGACTAAGGAGTACATGTTAGTTTACCGTGCAGGCAGCTTGTTACCTCTGGGTTACAAGGATTCTGATTTCCAATCAGATAGGGATGAAAGTAAGTCAACCTCAGGTTATGTGTTTACCTTGGGAAGTGGAGCCATTTCATGGAGGAGTGCTAAGAAAAATTGCGTGGCAGACTCCACCATGGAAGCCGAGTACATAGCAGCCTCAGAGGCAGCGAAAGAGGCAGTTTGGCTCAGGAACTTCTTAGTGGACTTAGAGGTTATACCGAGTTTGCCACGTGGTATCACCGTGTACTGTGATAATAGTGGAGCAGTAGCGAACTCAAAAGAACCTCGAACCCACAGGGCAAGCAAACACATAGAGCGCAAATACCATCTGATTCGGGATATCGTTGGTAGAGGAGACGTTGATGTTGCCAAGATTGCGTCAGAGGACAGCCTAGGTGATCCTTTCATGAAGAGTTTGCCGGGGAAGGTCTTCGTCAAACACGTGGAAGGAATGAGAGTCATGAGCATGGCAATAGGATCGACATAGATCTTTTAGAATAATGGATTGATAGGACTATACTGTAAAAGTGAAAGCTTTAAGTATAAGTGGGAGATTGTTAGTGTCATATACTGAAAGCTTGGCTTTGCATGTTATTACACATTTTCCCTTTATGAATGACAATCGTGTTAGATTAAACAAGTTCTACGTTCTGTTGTTCTGCACTTAGATGGAGTGGTTCGTCATCGGGCGAACCGAAGATCACTCTATCAGTTACTTGCGAACAAGAATAGTTGTTCACAACCTAGATGGACATGAACACCCCATCCGAATGGTTGTAGTGTCAACTGCACAGTTTGTCTTGACTGATTAGTTGCACTAGTACATTTATGTATTGAACAGGATCCCAGAGAGAAGAAGTTCATTTTATACTGATCGTCGTAAATGAACTAGGTCTCGGTCAATTACTGCGTTCTCTTAACCCATAAGATATTAAACAGGCAGATATATGTAATATATATTACTTTGATTCACATGGGTGAGGTTCAGTTCGCTGGTTAATATTCCTACTGTTTTGGGTAATATTATTATATATAGGATGTGCTGTTAGGATATTTACGGTCACCATGTGCGTTAGTTTGATGATGTCCCCGGAGTGAGTTCATGAAGGATTGTTATGCTAAACCCTGCAGGTGGATTAAATTCCGGCATAATAAGAATGTGATGAACGAGCGCTAGCTTCGGTGAAATAATAATAAATTAATTAATTCTTGATTGTCAGTAATCGAATTAATTAATGGACATTATATCTTAAACGTGGGGAGGTAAATCGAGTAATTATTATTGGAGTCTCAAATGTAATTTGGGCTAGGAAAAGGGAGTGCAATAATATAATGTTGGTGGCCCATTAATATTATTTAATTAATTAGAGGAGTGGGCTTGGCCCACAGTTAGTCTAATTAATTAAGGAGCCCTTTTACTAATCTTCTAAGGGTCCCTACTGGAGCTCTATATATACATCATTAAGCTCATGAGAAGAGTTCACATCTCACGTAAAACACGCCTCACACACATCTCTCTCTCTAGATCTCATTCGAGCTTTATCTTCTTCTTGTTGCTCCACTGGTACAAGTTGAAGAAGGGTGTATTGAGTAATACAGCAGAAGATCTGTAGGTAAACCGAGACGAAATATATTTTGACCTACAGAACTAACCGGATGTCCGATTGAGATGTACAGCATACCCAAACGACCGTCTCGACGAGAGATTTTCATCGCCGCCGAGATCGCCGGAATCCAACGTCTCACGCGCCCTCACGCGCCGCCGCAAGCTCCCAGGCTGCAAAATTTTGTTTTCATCTGTTTGCATCCGTTTGATCCGGTTTTGATCTGATCTTGTTCGTGCAACCCAAGACGTGATTTGCGGTCAATCAATTGCGGTCAATCGTTCGTGGTCAGCCAGATCTACATAAATTTTAAACCGTAAGTTCTCTACGTCAAACCTTTAGATCCGCTGCGCATAGGTTTACGTTTGCTATTGAATTCGTGATTTGTACATAACGAGATCCTCACAGATCCCAACAGTTAAGTCTCTGATAAATATTTTTCCAATCATCATAACCAATTGTTGCTGTTGTTAAGGGACTTGATATGATTTTATCCCTCTTGAATAGAACACAGCAAAAGCAAAATACTTTATCCTTCTTCTGAGAGTCAACTAACCATGATCTATCAAGTTTTTCCCCATTCGATAAAGATCGAGTATAGAGTTTATCATTGAAACTTCTACCTTTGTCGTTAATTGGATACACAACATTAGTAACTCTAACCGACCCTTTCTCGACTAAAAAATCAATCTTTCTTTGAGGCATATTATCCTCCCAATTTACTGGATCGAATAAATCGTCCAAATTTTCACAATTCATATCATGATTATCATTCATATACTCATTATCATTCGCATTCTCGAACTTATATTTTTCTTCTTCAAATTTCCATCCCCTTTTTCATTATCATCTGAAATCAATTCGATGTCGATCTGTTAAATCTCGGCCAATTTCAACTAAGGGTGTATCAGGTAATTCCGGCACCATTTCAGTAGGACCAAACACTTCAACTTCTACTACATGAGTTGTAGGTTTTACGTACCTATCCATAGAACCGACGAGAGATTTTGTTAATATCTTCTGCTTTTCTTTCTTTTTCCTTTTCGAACTTCCCGATTCGAATTTGCGTTTGCCCGTCATAACTCGTCTAGCAAATCTGATCATAGAATGAGATAATAATATATGAATAAATTCATTTACAATACTAATTAAGAAAAAATACAGTCAAATATTAAAAAAAAAAAACACACAGATGGGGACAACTAATAAATTTATTTACAATACTAACAAATTTGATTATNAAAAAATATCTTGTGCCAGTCAATGAACAATTCAAGTGGAACAAATAATCAAATTTGTATCAGCACAATTGAACAATTCAGGTGGAACAAATAATCAAATTCGTATGAATGCTGCTTGAGTGCTCCAAAACTAATGTATTCTATTTGAGAATTCGAGATGAGCATGATACCACATTCTCAATTAAAATAGTTAGAGAAAGAGATTAATCATTAATATGTTATAATTGATCTAAATTTTTAAAACTTCAACCAGATGGAACACCGAAAATATATCATCATTTCAAATCTCCTTGACTGCTTCACACGTATCAAAAGCATAATAATCAAATTCAATAGACACAGACACGAAAAATATTTAGAAAATAGAAAAAGTTCCTACCAGATTGATTGAGAAGCTCAGCAGCGGGCCGACAGCGGTGACGCGTGAGACGGTTGTGGTGAGGGCAGAGGGCGTTGGCTGTCGAGCGACTCCTCGGCGAAATTTGCGAGATTGGGTTTTAATAATTGATTGTGTAAACTGTAAAGTGCAACTGTGCAAGTTTCGGGCTGACGCATAAGAGGTACAACCTCTTAAATTTGTTTATGCAAATGTATAATATATAAACAAATTATATATTTATGAGACCCTAGGCTGGAGCCTTTGTTGCCTGGCCCAAAAGTCGGCCCTGTGTGTGTGAGAGAGAGAGAGAAAGAGAGAGAGAGACGTAGAACTGGGATGGGTGTAGTGGTGGGGCCCATTGATGAGGGTAGATGGTGGGTGGTTGGGAAATGTCTACACAGCTCTAAGGAATAT